AGATAATGTGGTATGGTTATTAACTGTGTAGTATAAATAAGAGATAACGTGGTATGGTTATTAACTCTGTAGTATAAATAAGAGATAACGTGGTATGGTTATGAAATCGTGTAGTAAAATGATGTAACCAGCGAACAGAAAGTTCAGTGAGACGCTCGGAGCCGACTCGACCTTTCACCTAATTTCCTCCTCACGCGCTCAACCAAACAGTCGCTGCGCTCGTGAGGACACAACTACCGGACCGGCGTTTCACAGGTAACCTCCGACACTGACACACGTTTTTAAGTGGCTTTTCAACGCTTCTTTCATTCAAGAGCTTCTGAAGACGCGTCTGTGAACGCTGCAGCCATTAAAGGGAGGTCTGCGTTAGCTTCCAGATGTAGCTCTGTAACCGGCATGCTAACAGCCGAGCTAGCTCTCGAACAGCTGGAGGCTAAACGACAAATGAGCTGCTTCAAAGCTGTAAGTTAACGCTGAAAGTCTGCGACAGTCCTCAGACTTTAGTTTACCGGAACTTGTGTACTTTTGAACTTAAATCACCTGCTTATTCCTCCACTGCGTGCCTTTAAACTACTTGTATTCAGTCAGCTTGAATTCAGCCTCCCTGTCTTACACCTGATTTAATCATCTCAACAGCTTTGCCATCAAACTCTGTTAATCATCCATTTAAAACAAGTGTGCTGAATCACTCTGAAACATCTAAAGCAAGCAAGGCAGTGTGCCCCGAGGACTAGGAGTGGGGAAACACTTTTTAAAACTACATTAAAATACCACAAATCTTTATGTAAAAGAGCTGTTAAACAATGAGATGGAAAACTGAAAGACCCCCTTAAGCGTTCTTTATAACTTACAGACTCCAAATGTTACTGAGTTGTAGATGTGCGTCTAAACATTACTTTCTGAAAGTTTCATCAAAACCTTTTGAGTGGTTTTTGTTATATTTTACTAACAGCACAGACACAGATATGGAAAGCCAGAAGTGCCAAGAGCTCATGATGTGAACACACAGGCACTTTCACAAAACAGTTTGGTGAACGGGTCATAGGGACGTTTGTGTTTGTTGGAGCGGACGAAAAGAAGCAGCTCAGGGTTAAAAGGCTAAATTTAAATATTCTATGAGCAGTGAAAAATATATGATTTTGTTGGCTATCATATCAATTGAATTCAAATTATTTATATAGCACCAAATCACAACAGAAGTCGTCTCAGAAGTCGTCTCAGGGCACTGAACAGAAAAATTCATATATAAAATTAATAATAGTGGAACAGTGGAAAGGAAAAACTCCCTCATGAGGAAGAAACCTTTAGCAGAACCAGCTCAGGACAAGAAGCCATCTGCTTCAACCGGCTGAGTTTGAGAAGAACAGGAAGGAGGAACAGATACACAATGGCAGGTCAAGAATCACATGTTAAGATAGAAATGAAAACAAATGAAAACTGTTCAATTTTAACAATTCATTTAAGGAAATTGGGTCAATTTGTCTTCCTGTAGCCTAAGTCTATAGCAGCATAAACAAGCCATTGCTAACTATAGGATTTATCAAAAAGGAAAGTCTTAAGCCCTGTTTTAAAACTGGACAATGTGTCAGTTTTACGAACAGAAACTGGAAGTTGGTTCCACAAGAGAGGAGCCTGATATCTTCCTCCCATTCTGCTTTTGAAAACTCTAGGAACCATGAGTAAGCCTGCAGTCTGAGAGTGAAGTGCTCTGTTAGGAAAATATAGAACAATAAGATCTCTAATATAAGATGGAGCTAGGTTGTTGAGGGCTTTGTAGATTGGAAGTAAGATTTCGAATTCAATTCTGAATTTGACAGGGAGCCAATGGAGAGAAACTAAAACTGGAGAGATATGATCGCTCCTACTAATTCCACATTAGTTAAATATTAAATATATGCTGGTACTCCATCTATATATACAGACTCTTTAAAAAAAAAAAAAGAATTTCATGGAAAAGTTGTTTAACTTCCATAATTCCATTCAAAAAGTTGATCTTTAATAGATGATAGATTCAGGGCCCACAATTTAAAATGATTTCATGTATTTATTTGTTTATTTTTACATGATTTGGGCTTCCAGCTCATGAAACCCACAAAAACAGGATTTCAAAAAATTAGAATAATGTGGAGAAATCAGCCCACACTACTTCTCAGTGTTTTTCAGAAAAAAAGAAATAAGTTAGGATCACAACAAATCAATCAAAATGTGGTACTTTCAAAACGATATGTCAATCTTCAATACCAACAAAGTCCATGCTCAATAATCCAGGTATACAAGCCAACAATTTTCAGTCAGGTCATCTGGACAGTTTTTTTTTTTTTTTTTGTGCTGAAACGTTCCACCTTCCATCCAGAAGGCTTCATCAGTCAAGGAAACACACAAGACAAAACTGATTCTTCCCCTAACAACTTACTTGTTCCACTTTGGAGTAAGCTGTTGGGGGGGGAGGGGGGGGATCAGTTTTGTCTTGTGTGTTTCCTTGACTGATGAAGCCTTCTGGATGGAAGGTGAAATGTTTCAGCACAAAAAAAGAAACTGTCCAGATGACCTGACTGAAAATTGTTGGATCAATCTTCAATACTTGGTTGGGAATCCCTTTGTCTTAATCACTGCCTCGATGCGACGTGGCATTGAGGCAATCGGCCTGTGACATTGACTGGGAGTTATGGAAGCCCAGATTTCCTTCATGCTTGCTGTCAGCTCTTCTTTGTTGTTGGGTCTGGTGCCTCTCATTTTCCTCTTGAGAATACCCCATAGATTCTCCATTGGGTTTAGGTCTGACGAGTTGGCTGGCCAGTCAAGCACTGTGGCATGGGCATCAAACCAGGTTTTGGTGCTTCTGGTGGCATGGGCCAGGTCCTACTGGAAGATGAAATCTGTATCTCCATACAGATCCTCAGCAGAAGGAATCATGAAGTCCTCTGAAACATTCTGGTAGACTGTTGCGATGACCTTGGATTTAAGAAAGCAGAGTTTACCAACACCTGCACCAGACATTGCACCCCAAATCATGACTGACTGTGGATATTTCACACTGGACCTCAAGCAGTACGGGTTCTGTTCCTCACCCTTCTTCCTCCAAACCCTTGGACCTTGATTTCCCAATGAAAGACACACTTTACTTTCATCGGAAAAGAGGACAGAGGAACCCAACAGTTGTAGCCCATCTCCTGGATGCGTCTGAATGTGGTGGTTTTTGAAGCTGTGACTCCCGCCTCATTCCACTCTTTCTGGATCTCTGCCAGATTCTGGAATCTTCTCTGTTTGATAATCCGCTGAAGCCCACAGTCATTTCTTTTGGTGGTGCATCTTCTCCTAACACATTTTGCCCTTCCACTAGACTTTCCATTGATGTATTTGGACACAGCACTCTGTGAACAGCCAGCCTCCTTGTCTATGAACTTTTGTGGCTTACCATCCTATGGAGGTATCAATGATGGTCTACTGGCCAGTTGTCATGTCTGCAATCTTCCCCATATTGAACCGAACTGAGACAATTGAACCAAACTGAAGCAATTTAATGACACCTGGGGAAACCTGTGCAGGTGCTTTGAGTTTAATAGATGATTAGTGTGTCACACTCAGTTTAAAACATTCATGCCCTGCAAAATTTGGACAGATTTATCCACAGTATTCTAATTTTTTCGAATTCCTGTTTTCGTGGGTTTCTTGAGCTGTTACTTCGGGACGAGGGCTGGCTGCGGGTCACCGGTTACCCTGAGGTCTCCTCTCGGACCCAGGACCTGCCTCCAGCCCACGTCGCTCCCCCCGGCTTGAATCTCCCTCAGAATTGGCAGCTCATACTAACAATAAATCAAGGAAACATGAATTCAGTTTTACCAATTGTATTAAAATCAAGGCAGGAAAAAGTTACAGTTTACAGCGCTGGTCTCTCCGGTCTGTGACGCATTCACAAACCCGGAAAAGCCCAGATGTCCCATGTCATTACTCATTTATAGGGTCCTAGACTCCTCCTTTGCAGAAGGGGAGCTCAACCTGTCAGTGTATGAGGGGGCGTGACTAAGTGTGATCTCAAAGATCTTATGTGGTTCTGATGTGAAAGAAAATATGAGACTGTGCTTCAAAAAGCCTTTATACGTGATGTGGCAAGCAAATTAAACTATTCCTTGACGGATATTGACTCCCAGGGAGACTCTTTTTAGAGTTGCTGGCCCAGTTTAACCCAGTCAGAACCGGGTCATAATTTCATTATAATCCTATCTCTGAGCAGATCAAAACCATAGGACCACTCTAGATAAATATCTTAACCGCTGGAAGCCCAAATTATGTAAAAATAAACAAATAAAAACTTGAAATCGTTTAAATTGTGGGTCCTGAATCTATCATCTATTAAAGATTAATATATCTGTCCTCTCCTGGACAGAGAGGAACGATGGTTTGAGAGAGGAGTAAAGGAGGCCATCTTTGGGAATAGAAATCGTCCATCGTTAAACAGGGGTGGAGGCCTCCGGGTTCAACTGTCCCCCTCTTACAATGCTGTGATTGCTAGTATCACTCAGCCCTCTGTGAATAGTAAACAGCCATCAGTGTGCTAATGATCCATTGTTAGACTTATGGTCCTTCTTGAGCATGTGATCAGCTGGTTTTGGTTGTCAGCAGCAAAACTGGTTGATCCACTCTGAGAAGGTGCTATTTAAGAGACTGAGCTGAATACAGCTCCTCAGACTGAGGAAGTCTCTTGGATGAGAGACGAAACGTTTCTGCATTTTTTTTGTTGTTTTGCTTTGTTTTGTTTTTTGAATGTCCAGAGGACCAGATTTAACTTTTTTAGAATACATTTCATGTTTGAAAAGTATTTATATTTTAGATTAAACTTTACAGAACTAAATAAAACTTTACACAAGCAGTGTTGGTGACCACAGAAAACTTTTTATTGCTTATAAAATGACCACTTGCCTTGCCCTACATCACACATTTTATAGTTTTGCCGGCATGCAGTCTGTAAACCACTGCCATGCTGACCATTTGCAGTTCCCAAGGCAGCTTTTTAACGCTCACGTTTTGTGGACAAAATATCTATGTAATCCGCATTTTAGCTGGTTTGACTTTCCTAAGTAATATTAGAGCAAGTGGAATATAAATGTATATGCAGTAAATATTTTTAACACACAGGTTTATGTAACTTACCATCAAATGTGCTCATGTGCCACACAGGCAGATGAATGTTCAAGCAAATACAAATTATTTTGTGCACAGTAAATTAAATAGAAACAGAACACAGATAATTTGCTGGTTTTGAATACGATTCCCTATTATTTTCAACAATTTGACATGGTCATGCACGATTCCAAGGTCTTTATTTTTCCCCACAGGGTTGTTGGATCCAGCGGGAACATTCAGAAATGTGGATGAGTACGTTTGCACGTTTTGCCCTTCCTGTGCTGCAGAGGAGTACCTCCCCGTTAGCCCTCAAGGCCCTGAGGGCTTGTCGCAGAATTGAGATGGCTGAAGTTCCACCACCCTTTTTCCTGACTACAATACATATTCGTGGGCATCACACACTTGGCTCTGCCTCCCTCCCCATGGCTCGCCGCTCAGTGAGAAATGTCCGGGCTCTGGACGAGGACAGGCTTTTGGAGGTGGAGTGGGAGGATGGAGGACAAAGTCTGTTCCCTTTCACCTGGCTTAGAGACAACTGCCAGTGCCCGGTGTGCACCCTGCAGTCCGCACAGGCTCGCTTGCTCCCGCTAAGTGATCTTGATGTCCACACAGGAGTAAATGTTGTGGAGATCACCAATGACAACAAGGTCTGTAGTTGCCATAACCTGGCCAAGTTGTACACACACGCACGCACACACAATTAAAATGTTCTGCATTTTATTAAATAAAGTGAAAGGTTAGATTATAATAAGAGTCCATAATTTTAAGTATGTATATAGTGTATATTGTCTGAGGTGGTTCAGGTATCTGATTAGGATGTCTCCTGGACACCTCCCTTTAGAGGTTTTCTGGGCACGTTTTACTGGTAGGAGGCCCCAGGGAAGACCCAGAAGTCGCTGGAGGGATGATGTGTCTTCTTGGGCCTGGAAGTGCCTTGGGGTCCCACAGAACAAGCTGCAAAGTGTCCCTGGGGAGAGGGATGTCAGGGTTTCTCTCCTGGACCTGTTGCATCCACGACCCAATTACAGATAGGTGGTAGAAGATGGATGGATGGATGTTGTTCAATATTCAATGTTTGGCATGGATTGTTTATTTAAAATAAATTATTTTAAATGATTTGGCACCTGTGTGCAGCCCACAGGTGCAGGGAGATGTTCCCTCCTGCAGCATGTCATGATCTCGGCTCTCTGCCACACCCACTTCTCAACTGCAATCACACTCGTGCTCATCACATGTCACGTCCAAACCTCCATTCCCTCTGACGTCATTGCAGCTTCACTCCCTCTTTCAGTTTCAGCTGACACAGCTGATACATCCGTCCGGACGGACATGTCAGCTGTGTCGGCTGAAATTGAAAGAGGGAGTGAATAAAAATAATTATTTAAAGTTTTATCAGGAGGAGGAAGACAGCTGTCACTCTGTAGAGCTCAGATCACCTGTTGAAGGGGGAAGGGAGGGGGTTGTGGTCCCTAACACCCGTGATAAACGAGGGACTACTGTATTACTACTTATTGTATATGAACAATGCATGCGTGTCAAAAATGGCTTTAAACTGTATATCTAGTCATTTGTTATTTTAATGTTATTGTAGCTTTTACCTGTCTGCAGTACAAACATGAATTCACTGACATATTGTTGCCTGTTTTAGTTGTAGTTTCCAGCTGAAAGGCTAAATTGGAAGTGTATCAAATCATCACAGATTTCCTTGATAACAGAATTAGCAAAGAGCTAAGCTTGCTAGAGGCATTCTTTGATATTTTCTATTCTTGGCACATCTTCCATAATTTATTTAATTATTATATAAAAGGTACTAAACAAAGACAGTGACTGGATCTATGATTCCTGTAAAACAGTCTTTGTGCTTTGTCCAAATAAAATGTAAACACTTTAAATCCAATCTACAAATGTATCAGCTCAGCCTCTGCTCTTAACTACTCTGTCCTCGGTCTAAGTGCCTGCCTGCTTCAGCTCAACAAATAGTGTTTATAGCATCTACAGGTGCTGGTCATAAAATTAGAATATCATGAAAAAGTTGATTTATTTCAGTAATTCCATTCAAAAAGTGAAACTTGTATATTATATTCATTCATTACACACAGACTGATATATTTCAAATGTGGTAAGAATACTATTCATTATAGTTTGATAACATAAAACCTGTTTCTTTTTAGGAAAAGCTGATTTTTGATGGCATCTGTCTCATGACCTGCAGGGTTCATGAAAGGCCAATGATCTAATTTTAGCTCTCTCAGCCTGAGCTTCCTATAAAGGAATCCCCTCTGATTTTCTCCTTTTCTGTTCAGTTTCTAAAGGGGGAATCAGCTATAAACAGATATTTCTGACTGTCCTGGCAAGATATTGAAAATACTGCAATAACTTTCCTATATTACTTTCTAAATCTTGTACCAAGATATACCTGATAAGCTATTATTGTATCATAAACATGACACTTCTATCAAAGGTTTTATGATTATCTTTGGTGGTAAAAAAAAAAACAACTTTAGATTTGGACTCAAGGTTACTACATGCCCTGAAAAAAATGAACATAGAAAACTGTATGTATGCAAAAAAAAAAAAAGGTCTTTAGTTAATCAAAACTGTATTTTCTAGATTGATTGTTTATCAAAGTAAAACATTAAAGGCAAAACAAAGGGCAGCGCTCTAGAGAAAACTGAGATCAATATAGTTTAATCTCTCTGCAGGTCCTGGTCGTGTGGCCGGACCATCACAACAGTGTCTTTGATGCCGACTGGCTGAGGAAACGCTGTTTTTCTACTACTGCCAGACAAGCAATGCAAGAGGAGCTTTTTCTGAACGGTAAGTCTCAGTCTTTCTTAGACATTCTGAATTGTAAGTTTGTAACTTGGAACGTAATTGTATGAACTTCTACTGGTACCCCATTCTTAACTTTTTCTTTTAGATAGAAAATAGACATGGATCAAGTTTGTGTTGGGATTATGAGACTTTGATTGTTTTTTTTTTTTGTTTGTTTGTTTGTTTTTTTACAAAACTGTACACAAAAATAAAAACATTTACAAAAAGTAGAATTTAATTGTTACATAGTTTCAGAGTATGAGAGAGTGGGCTCAGTTCTATAGCTGGGCTTGTCCTAAAACTAATTCTTAACTATAGAAAACCGATAAGAGCAGCCAGAAGAGTTGGAACAAAGTTCTGTCAATACATGACTGTCAAACAGCAGCTATGAATGCAGCTGCACGCAGTGCATTGACTAACAATCACTCTGCCACTGGTGGCAGGAAGACAAACAGGAAGGAAGATGAACAACAACTGCAACATTAACTTTTTAGTAATCAGTGTTCTGTGATTTTATTCATCTGTTTTGATTTAAGTAGACTTTTCGCTTTATCCATCCATCCATCCTCTTTCTCTCATCATATACTGTACATAAAAAATATATATATATACGATATATATATATATATATATATATATATATACGATATATATATATATATATACACGTTTGGTTCGCAGCCGAGTGTGAAGCGGCTGGGACGAGAATCAGCACCTCCACATCTGAGGCCATGGTCCTCAGTCAGAAAAGGGTGGACTGCTCTCTTCAGGTCGAGGGTGAGGTTCTGCCTCAAGTGGAGGAGTTCAAGTATCTCAGGGTTTTGTTCACGAGTGAGGGAAGAATGGAGCTTGAGCTTGACATACGGATTGGTGCTGTCTGTGTCTGCATATTGCGGACACTGTGCCGGTCTATTGTGGTGAAGAGGGAGCTGAGCTGTAAGGCAAAGCTCTCTGTTTGCCAGTCAGATGTTCCTATCCTCACCTATGATCACGAGCTCTGGGTAGTGACCGAAAGAATGAGATTGTGGATACAGCAGGTTGAAATGAGTTTCCTCTGCTGGGTAGCTGGACTCTCCCTTAAATATAGGGTGAGAAGTTCAGTTATCCAGGAGAGACTCGGAGTAGAACCGCTGCTCCTCCACATCGAGAGAAGCCAGTTGAGGTGGTTCGGGCATCTGGTAAGGATGCTCTTTGGGCTCCTCCCTAGGGAGGTGCTTTGGGCATGTCTGACTGGGAGGAGACCCCAAGGAAGACCTAGGACATGCTGGAGAGACTATGTCTCTCAGTTGGCCTGGGAACACCTTGGAGTCCTCCCAGAAGAGCTGGAAGAGGTGCTGTGGAGAGAGATGTCTGGGCCTCCCGGCTCAAGCTGCTGCCCCCGAGACCCGACTTTGGAACAAGCGGAAGATGATGAATGGATGGAAATGGTGTTGGTGTGTGTGTGTGTGTGTGTGTGTGTGTGTGTGTGTGTGTGTGTGTGTGTGTGTGTGTGTGTGTGTGTGGTTAGAGCAGTTGTCCTCCAATGGGAGAGTTGGGGGGTTTGACTCCACCAGTGGTCACATGCTTAAGTTACCTCTGATGTGTGTCCCATTGGTGTATGAGTCAGTCAGTCAGAGAGATTTATTGTCATACTACACCACATGTGATACACGTGGTGGAATGAGATTATGTACACAGGGTCCCAGTTACATCCTACAATAAAATGTAAAAGAAAAACAGCAATAAGATCTAAGATATGATCTAAGAAAAACATCAACTAAATGTACACTAAGCACTAATAGCATAAAACCAATACGCTGAACAGCAGCACGAACATGTGATCTAAAGCTCTGATTAGTCTCTACAGATTCAGATTAGCTTTGTAGCAATATATTAGATTGCTGTGTGGGTGTGTGTGGAGGTAAACAAGGGCACAGATTGTGTTGTAAAGCGCTTGAAGTATCTAGATTAGATAGAAAGGTGCTATATAAGCACAGTTCACAGTCCACATGTACCGTGTGTGTGTAGTGAGTCACGTAGGTACGTGTCACTAGTTGTAGTATGACAATATATCCCCGTTTATATGCATACTTTTTCACGAGTTCCTCATCTTTCTGACTGTGTATTGTCGTGTATTGAATTTGACAGAAATGTAACGAGAGACGTTATTTACCTTTGACCCACCAAAATGAATGGAGTCATTTATTTTCAGAATCAAAGTTTAACATCAAACATTTACATTAATTTGGCAAAATATGAAAATAATAACAGACAGTTTCACAAATATTGAACTTCAAATCACTCGGCGGTGATTTGAGGACTTTGCTTCAGATATTTCTAAAAATATCTGTACTGATTTATGAGAGAGAGGTGAGTTTAAGAGGAAATTGAGATTTATCTTACAGAGAAATATGTGAGGGAATTAATATCTGTTGACCAGAAATTGCACGCTCCCATCAGGTATCTCAGCTTATCCCAGGTACACTTTAGTCGAAGAAGAAACCGTTACCTTGTTGACGATAGATCACCTCAGTAAGAATCCTTCAGACTGATATCAGCGTCTCCGTTGAGAACAGCTAAAATCCTTGGAGAGTCGTGCGTGGTTAGTTCAAAACAGAATTATAATCCCAAAACGTCTCTGGATTCTCGGCAACTCTGACTCTTCATTGTCAGCAGCTCTCAGACTCTTTCAGATCTTCTCAGACTCTAACTCCAAAACTCTCCATAACTCTAGTTCTCTGGAATCTCTTGGAACCGACTGCCCTCTCTGAATTCCCATGAATTCTCTTCAGAACTCCTTGAGAACTAACTGCACTCCGGCAGAACCGGGAAGTTGTCCCATTTTAAATGAGTTTACTTCCGAGTTTACTTCAGAGCTTTCTGATTCGTGGATGGACCAGAAAGAGGAGTGGTTTTGACGTAAGGTGTTTATCAAAAGTCGAGGTCAGAGAATGAAATTTGTTTAACAACTGACAGAGAGATTATTGCAGAAAAGCAGACTTCGTGGAGTCTCCACTCTGATATCTTCTCAAATAGTTAAACATGACATTTCTTCTTCAGTAAACATTTAGTTGACCGAAGCTTCAACTTTCACATACTTACGACTTGGCTCATTTCAGACAGAAAATCAAGAAATGCATATTAACCTGATTTCTCCTTTGAATGAGGAATAAAAATCATTACTTACTGTTTATGTAAAATAAAAATGAGTAGTTCTTTTCAACCTGTAAGCATTGAGTGAAACTAACACAATTTGATTATCAAACATTTGTAAAACAGTAATGATTATAAAGGATTGTCTTTTCTGCTTGATTAATTCAAGAAAGAAAGTCATCAGATGGCTCAGACTTATTCAGATCAATGAAAATAACAGTCTCTGTCCATCTGGTAGATTTGAGGTCATCAGGGTCAGATGAGGGTCAGATCATCAGGTCATCTGGTTCACTACATGTGTATATATATGTATGTGTGTATATGTATATACACATATATATATATATATATATATTTATTTATTTATTTAACAGTACAATGTATTTGTAAGTGAAGTGTAGTGTTAAAGGTCATATAACTTTAGAGCTTTCTTATATTATGCAGCAGGTATCATTTATATTGAAGGTGCATGTTAGTGTTTCAATGAAGTCTCATTTCTTCACAAATATATTTGCAGTGAATCAGGGTCTAGTGGAATATTGCATTGTACAGATAAGATTTAAAATGGTGCAGTTTTCATAACTGCTGACAAAGTGCTGTAGTTATCTGACTGCTCTGGTCTGAAACTAATTATTTCTTTCTAGTTATTGTTGATATAATGGTGGAAAAGATTAATTTTAAAGGAGGCCATAAATCACAACACAGCTGTCCCACAATTAAAAGAAGAACAAACACTCTCCTGAATTAGCTTCAAAGCTGTATCAGAGTGCAATTCATCAGCTTGCCAAGCAGCAGGTGTTACCTGGACACACTTAAATAACAAAGCAGCACATTCAGTAAAACTTGTCACACATGACGCTTCCTTTTGTGTGCCATTATAAATGTTTGCCTATAAATATACACCTCTGCAATTTACTTCACAGTTAAGCTTCAGAGGAAGCAGAGTAAATCCAGACTGTCCAAGCACATGTTCAGATACTGCAGTCACTTGAGACACATCCACTATTCTGTTTCACTAATCGTGAGACTTTTAGCACCAAGTGGCTGGACCTCCTAAGGGGGTGGAGTGCAGGAAGTTATCCAGAGGAAGAGGTTAGCCAAGAAGAAATGGGACAATTAACTGAAGAGAGTGGACAGGAATATAAGGAGATGCAGCGTAGGATAACGAGGGAGGTGGCAAAGACAAAACAGAAGGTGTATGAGTTGTACCAGAGGCTGGACACTAAGGAGGGTCTTTTTTTACATTATTTACATAATCCCTTCATTTAACATGCCATTTTATGTTGAGTTTTAATTCAATTTAATTCAAAAAGACTTTATAAATCCCAGAGGGAAATTAAATGTTGTAACTCATCATCCTGGTTTCATTAAAGAGTTGTTGTAGATGCTGATGTCTGTGGGCAGGAAGGATCTCTTGTAGCGTCTGTCTTACAACAGATCTGAAGAAGCCTCTGACTGAAGACCTGACAGTCTGATGAAGAGGGTGCTCAGTGTTGTCTATAATGTTCTTCATTTTATGAAGAATCCTTCTTTGTACAGTCATCTCAAAAGGTTCTAGAGGAGTCCCCAGAACTGAGCCAGCCTTCTTTATGAGCTTGTTGATCTTTTTCAAGTCACTTGCTCTGGTGCTGCTCCCCCAGCAGATGATGGCAGAAGAGATGGCGCTCTCCACTAGTGTTGTGTTCAAGACCACCTAACTCGAGACCAAGTCAAGACCAAGACCAGAGTGTACCATGACCCAAGACAAGTCTAAGACTTTTAGGGTCCAAGACCAAGTTGAGACCAAGACCTCAAATAAAATAAATTAAAAAAAATGTTTTTTTTAATAAAAGTTACATACTGCAACTTTAAGTTTGCTTTTGAATGAACGT